ACATCCCCCCCCCCCCCCCCTCCCCATGAGGTATGGCCACGCCATAATCATTCTCCTCCATTTCTCCCTCCTTTTGGGATTTGAGGCAGACATGCACATATACTCAGCATGTCTCTCAAGCTGCTGGGTCTGAGACTCGAACCCTGCACTTCGCCTTATGGGATCGATCCAGCCACCTTAACCATCAGGCCATAGTCTGGCACCCCATTCTGGTTTTCTACTGTTAATAGTTTAGAAGGAGTTCACCGTGGTATGAAGAGCCTTCAGAAAGTTCATGGAAAATGGGTGTTATAAAAAAATTAAGCATGGATTTCTAAATTTTTTGCCTCCAATAAACTCATACTTTAATTCCACAAACTTTTTGAAGTCTCTTCATATAACGTATTAGAGTAGCCTTCAGGGTCACTTTTAAATTATTTATTAATTGTTAGTATTTTTTAATTGCTATAGGGCTAGTGTGCTCACCAGAGATAGGAAGCAAGAGAGGGAAGGTCAGAAAGCAGGCCACCAGGTCCGGGACTCAGACTATAGTCAGCTGTGTGGGAATCCAGCTCTTCAAACACCATGCCACCTGCTGGCCCCAAGGGTTTTTGTTTTGTTTTAGGGCTTTTGTTTTAATTTAACCATAATGCCTTTATCCTAACAAGATTAACAATAATTTCTTAATATTTTCTGATATCCAGTTGATATCCAGACTTCCAATATTGTCTGAAAAATAGCTTAACATTTTTTATTATTACTTACTCTTTCCTTTAGTGTACAGAATATAGAGAGAGTAATTCAATTCAAATGGCATTTTTGTTGTAGCCCTTTGTGTCCGTAAAGCTATTTAAATTGGCGCTTCTGAAAAAGTATTAGTTCCATTTGGGCATCGTAATTTGGGCTAGATATAGTGGTCAGTATAGAAAACCAGCTAAATATTTGAAACTTGATTTCTCTCTAAATCGTCATGGCCAATCCCACTGTTTTCCCGTCTTCTGCTTTTGTGCTTCCTGTGTGGCAGCTCATGGCAAGAGTGAGCTTGTGGACTCCCATTCACTCGAGGCATTGGATCATCAGCATTACTTGAACAGAACATTGGGTCAAGCACTGTGATAGGTGCTGAAGACATCCTCTAATGATTTCTTGCCTCTTTGTCTCCCTCAGGTACAGAGCCCTGGTATTTCTATTTCATTAATGGATTTCTGAACTTCAATGTAGCCTTTGGTTTGGCTCTCCTGGTATTGCCACTGACTTCCCTCATGGAATACTTGCTGCAGAGATTTCATGGTGAGTGGCATAAGAGATGGTCAGTTTTTTGGGAGGAAAGAGCTAGTGACAATGTACCCCTAGAAGCAAAGAATTCTACTAATTTTATTCCCTATTTTCTTCATATGGACATGGTTAGCTTATTGGATTTTGAGCCTGTCTTTGTAGATTATTTGAACTGATATGAAGATTTAGTTAATTCTTGCAAACTAAATCAACAGAGGAGGAACTTTAAGTCCGTTCAAGTAAGTAAATTATTATAGTATGCACAATCACCTAGGAAACAAAAATGTTTAAAAATCTCAGAAGATAATAAGGCTATTTGAATCTTTCATCTTTTAAAGAAGTGTATGTTAACCTGGTGGATTGAGACAATTCATGCTAGAGATAAACATTCTTTGGGAAATTACTTCAACCAAAAATATGAAGATTGAACTGTACAGGGATTCTCCTAGACTTTATGCTGAATTAAGGCGTTCTGGACTTTCTAAGCAGCATGATTTTCTCTTTGTCTCGTTCTGCTTCTGTGTCTGCCTCGTTGTGGAGGATTCAACTTGTCATTGATTTTATTGGCTCTGCGTTACACAGCTGCTGTTTTCTCAAGTTGCTGTGGCTGGCTCAGGATATCTAGTGTCTGTAGTTTCTAATACAGCAGAATAATTTGAGCAAAAATTCATATCGGCTTTGGAAAGAGACTTAATTTCCATCTTTTCTGTAAGATTTGGATGTCATCTGATCATTCCCCCATCCCACCCTCATTCTGCTTTTTTTTTTTTTTTTTTTTTTTTTTTTTGACAAAACACAGAGAGAGAAAGCAAATCAGATCATCCCCCCCCCCCCCCATGAGGTATGGCCACGCCATAATCATTCTCCTCCATTTCTCCCTCCTTTTGGGATTTGAGGCAGACATGCACATATACTCAGCATGTCTCTCAAGCTGCTGGGTCTGAGACTCGAACCCTGCACTTCGCCTTATGGGATCGATCCAGCCACCTTAACCATCAGGCCATAGTCTGGCACCCCATTCTGGTTTTCTACTGTTAATAGTTTAGAAGGAGTTCACCGTGGTATGAAGAGCCTTCAGAAAGTTCATGGAAAATGGGTGTTATAAAAAAATTAAGCATGGATTTCTAAATTTTTTGCCTCCAATAAACTCATACTTTAATTCCACAAACTTTTTGAAGTCTCTTCATATAACGTATTAGAGTAGCCTTCAGGGTCACTTTTAAATTATTTATTAATTGTTAGTATTTTTTAATTGCTATAGGGCTAGTGTGCTCACCAGAGATAGGAAGCAAGAGAGGGAAGGTCAGAAAGCAGGCCACCAGGTCCGGGACTCAGACTATAGTCAGCTGTGTGGGAATCCAGCTCTTCAAACACCATGCCACCTGCTGGCCCCAAGGGTTTTTGTTTTGTTTTAGGGCTTTTGTTTTAATTTAACCATAATGCCTTTATCCTAACAAGATTAACAATAATTTCTTAATATTTTCTGATATCCAGTTGATATCCAGACTTCCAATATTGTCTGAAAAATAGCTTAACATTTTTTATTATTACTTTTTATTTTGACCAGAGAGAGACAGAGGCAGAGAGAGAAAATGAGAAAGCAAGGTGCCAGGTCCAGGACTGAACCTACAGTTGGCCGTCTACAGTCCTAACCACCATGCCACCTGCCAACCCCTGAAAAATAACTTTTTGTAATTAATCTAAAGTGTGATCTAAACAAAGGTCACATACTGAATTTGGTGTTATGTCTCTTAAGATTTTTAAGACTTCACATTTCACTTTTTTTCTTCTGAAGATTTCTTAAGTAAATTGGGCCATTCATCTTGCATAGTGACCCACATTGGGGTATAGCTTTCTGCTCCCTAAAGGGGTTAACTTATTCCTCATCCCTGTATCCTTTTTTCTTTTCTTATGCCAGAGGGGATGTATGTATGTGTGAGAGAGAGAGAGAGAGAGAGAGGGAAAGAAAGAGAAAGTACCCTCCTAACAATGCCTGGTCACAAAATCCCTTTTTTCTCCGTATCTTCATCTGTCATAATCTCGGGCATGTGTTTTTTGACTGGGGCTTGAATCATAGTCAGCCATGTAGGATCTAGCTCCCTCTATACAATGCTGCATTATGAGGCCAGCCCTCTCTTGTATTCTTTTTTTTCCTACTTTTTTTTTTTTTTTTCAATTGTTAGAGGGCTTGTGCACTTGCTAGAAAGAAAGCAACTTCTATTCGGATTCAGTCATACTTCAGTTTTCTTTCCTCCATTTTGCCATCCTGTCAGGACTTGGGGCATGCATGCATGTGCACCTGTCATGTTCCTTAAGCACTGGGGCCAGAATCTGAACTACAGTTAGCCCCGTGGTATCTAGCTCCCTATGTAGAGCCTTAACCACTGTGCTATGAGATTGCTTCTTTCTTGAATTTCTTTTCTTTTTTTCTTTTTATGTTTTTGCCTTAGAGTGCATACATTTGCAAGAGAGAGATGGTGAGGGGAAAAATAAGAAATCAACCCTCCCCCTCAAGGGGAAATGACCACACTGCAATCCACTCTTCTCTCAGAATTTTGGGCATGCACACATATGCCTGGCATGGTCTTTAGCTGCTGAATCAGGGACTCGAACTGCACAAACAGTTATGTGGGATCTAGCTTCCGTAATCACTACACCATCTGCTGGCCCCTAGAAACAATCCTTTTTTTTTTTTAAAGAGGCTTTTGCTGTGACCAGCAGTTGGCGTAATGGCTATGTCACTGGACTCCCATGTAGTCGACCGTGGTTTAAGTCCGGGACCTGGTGGTTTGAACTCACACTGGGTGCATGTGCATGAGTGCCCAAGATCCTGA